CACTTTTTCACACCACTGTATACTCTCAAGTAATAAAATGGGTGATTTAATAAAGGAAGTTTGAATCATTTTTAAAGTAGCAGTTGGTCTGAATTTTGAATTTGAATTTCTGAATTAGAATTATTTTATATATTTTTTAGAATGGATTGTTCCAAATCAGAGGAATCATGTGCATACCTGTATGCATCCCCCCATTACGTCTTTTCTTTTCTACTTTGTATTTAAGATTGAAGCTTGTATTGGTAGTTTTTTTTAATCTCTCTCATTTAAACACACATTAAATTTATTTGAAGTCTTGAGACTAAACTGAATGCAGTAAAAGAACAATTCAATGAACCAACAACAAAAGAGGGAGAAATTGAACAAAAAGAGTGTAAAGAGTAGATCTCTATAGAGTAGACTCAGAGAACAGATTGGGAGTGAGAGAAAAAAATGAGGGGCAAATCTGTGACAGTCTGGGGACAAAAGGGCCCGGCTAGGCTGCTGCTTCATTATACTTTCCAAAATCACAAGATGGGTTTAAAGGACATGGAGGGAAGAGGAGGAGGAGGAGGGGGTGAGAGAGAAGAAGAAGAAATGACATATGAGGATGAAAAAAGAGGGTTGAAAGAAAGATGAGAGAAGGGGAGGTAGACAGCCTTTGACAGAAGTGATGTTGAAATGTAGCCAACAGTCAAACATTTTAATTAAACTTTTTACATGTCACAGTAATATCCATATATTGGATGGGTTTTCACAAGATAAAAATCATCCTGAAATTAACCTTCAACGGTCTTCTTATATTGGACACAATTTTTATATGCAGGGCTGGACTGGAAATAAAAATTGGCCTAGGACTTTAGACCAACCTAAACATACCTTGAGATCCCACAGCAGGCAAAGAAACAATGTCAGAGAATTAAGTAGAAAAAATATTTCTTAAAGGTTATATATATGGAATTCACTGGATTGGACTGCACTGGAGCACAGCATCTCAGTCCAGCACAATGGAACAAATACAAAATGTGAAAATATTTGTGAAAAAGACTGCAAATGGCCACATCAGGTAAGCTAATGTTAATCTTTCCAAATAACCCCGTTAAAGTATGTCCACTTCAGTTGTTATAGTAAGTGTCTGACAACATTCAGGAAAGGGTCCCTACAGAGACAGACATTTTGTTTAACCAGAAACAGATGTAATATTGCTCGCCACCAGAGTCACGTATCAATGTAACATCGTAACTTCATTCAAAGGACACAAAATATATATATATTTTTTTTCCCCATGTCCCTTTAGGGGCTCCGTATTAGTCTTTCCACTGTTCCAACAATCACAAACTCTGCCTTGGTCGAAATATATCCCTAATTCATAGATGTAGATGAGGAAAAACAGCAGTCTCAGTCGCTCTAGGAGATTTTTGGAAAAAGTGACGGCCCTAATTACTAATCACTTTCAAGGCACTGCATTGTCTTACACTTGGTTAAAAAACTGAACTTTTTATTTCATCCCAGCTCACTAAATGACGACTGTGAGATGTGGTTGAAGGTTAAGGAAAGCTAGTAGGGGGTCCTTTGAGCTTAAATTAATTTCAAGTAGTTTAAGTTAAACGCACTTGATCTGAAAAGTAGTCCAGTTCTCATTAAAAGATAATGTCTTCATTTCTTTCAGTAAAGAACTTTCATGTCACCAGCTCACAGTTTGTCATTGAACTCTTTTGCTTTCAAAATAAAATCTCTCTCTCCTCTTTCAAAAAATAATTGGTTTTGTTCTGTGGGTACAACGTCTGTCAGTCTAAATCTCAAACAGAGAAAAACTAGGACCTGTGCTTTAGAAAAGTATATTGAGAGATATCCATTGTTTCCACTGTTGACAGCTCCAGTGACAGCTAAGTCTATTTGTATGGCACGGCCACAATGTGTTTGGGCCTTGATATCCACACATCCTTTTCAAATCCTCTTCCTTCTTAAACACACATACACACGCACACATCATAAATAAATGCACATGCTCACATTTCTATAGGGTAGAATATGGCATCCTACTAATGTTTTGTAATTCAATTCAGTAAGATGTGAATAATGTCATCAGTGAGAAGGCAAGAACGAATGAAAGCTTTTGCAATTTTCATTAGAAGTAATTATTCTTTTTTATAGCTGCTTTTTGAGTAATTTCCTTACATTTTCATCGGCTGCCTTGTGCCACAGCAGTGTCCAAATCAACCTTTTGGAAACAGTGGGCCTGAGGCAAAGCCAGGAGGCAGAGCTGCTGTTCATTGACCCTGAATATTTCAGCTGTGTCCCAGTTCAGTGTCACGATAAAGCAGACTGCAGAATAACAGCCCCATTAAAGGACCACGAACACATACTAATTTAGCTTTGATGCTAAATAAGGAGAAGAAGGAGCAAGGCAACTGGCAGAGGGTTCGACGAAGATGAAAAAGAAGTGACCGTGTATGGAAAATTGATTTAAGGATAAAGAGGGAAGAAATAATGATGAAAATGAAGTAACATCCAATGACAGTGTCTGTTAGCATAAATCCACAGCCCTCCATGACGTAGTTTTAAAGCCAATGGATTCCCTTGCTCCTACTGGCTGCCAGCTGTAGCAGGCAGCTACAGCGAGAGAATTATTTATGAATTTATCTACAGTGTGTCCAACTGCACACCCGCCAGCTAGCTCACTGGATACAAGAACGGCCTGGACTCTGGAGTATCTGTCTGAGCCTTGACTGCTCACTGACTACAGAATAATAATGACATGCTGTTTTCCTCTGCTAGATATTACAAGTATTTAGCCAGGTCTGCTTCTCATCATGAGATGCATTTGAGGCAACTGAGACTTGTTAGAGCTCTGCTTTCAATGTGTGTATAACGCTGCGAGCTTGAATTATATTGTGCAAAAAACAACACCGAGTTTATGAGTATTGATTTGTTTTGTTTTTAATACCTACGCAAAATACCATCAAAGGGAAGCAGCTGTGAGATATTTCATGAGCCACAAAAAGCTCATGGGAAACACAACAGGCTAAGCTGCCATCTGCTATTAATGAAGTGACAAGTACAGTCTCTTGACAGAACACTGGTTAACCTTGGGGTCAGAGCCGTCATTTGAAAAGTTCACAGAGTGCCATGCATTGGTGTATTGGCCTCTTTTGTTTCTGGGAATCTACCCAATGGTTTCTCTGGCTCAGGCAAGACTCTCCGTCTCAGGGAATATCAAAGGTTCAGTGTGCAAATGTTTAATTCTGACCAAACAATGCAGAATGTGTACTGTCGTAAGAGAGAGCACTAAAAATCTCCTGACCAAGTTGAAAGAAAAAGCTTTTCCCTTTATGCAGTAAGTCCATTAAAAAAAACATTGGCTTTATTATGCAGTCCATCTCAACATAATTGCACTTTAAAGTAATACTCTAAACAAATAGGGGGCAGCATATCA